GTTTACTTGCCGCAATTTTTGTCGTTCTCTTTTGAACTTGCTTCATGCGTTTATACAAGGCAATTCGGTTTCCAAAAATCTATATAAAATGTCAACAAATACAAAATACACAAAACGAATTGCCAGAAAATTGTCGGTACGAGCAATTTTTTTTCATTTCTATTCCCCTTGCCCCTCTCTCCAACAAACAAAGACTTGCGCAAGTAAACTCGCCTAATCTAAATCAAGACTTACAGCCTATTCGGATGTAAAACTTCCATAATACCCAAAAATTCGAATAATGGGGTATACGCTTATATGGGGAATATCATGGAAACTAGACTAATATTGATAATTTTTGGTAGGGAGATTTTATATACAATGTGAACTCAAAATACCAAATATCAACCAATTCTGTGGAAAAACGTATCCAACATCCAAAATACACAACATTGAGGGGGCGTGGCCCGCCCATTTTTCTTAAATCCATTTTCTGTACATACAAAAATACTCTTATTTAAAAAATGAACTGTTAATTATTTTTACTGTTAAATGTTATTTCTTTATAATTCTAATTATCCAAATCCAAAATCATTTTAAATGTTTCAATCCATTTAAAACTATTGTACTGTCAAACAATGTTATTGATAGGTTAGGTTAGAGGTCAGTTCAAAGGGGTATATGTTGTTAGAATAAGTTTCAGTTGAATATGTTCGCATGATTCAGTGTTTCCATACTTTAAAGTTGGGGAATAATGTTTACTTTTCCTTTGGAATTGACAAATTTGTAAAAAGATTTCGCTCTATATATACTATAAACACAGTAAAGAAATACAAATCTGTAAGACCTTAGATTTAAGCTTTCTTGTAAGCTTATTTACGAATTATTATTGTTTAAAATATTTTAATATATGTATATGTAATTGTAGTTCCCTGAGGATGATTGGAGAATCTAATCGCAATATTGGAAACAATAAATATTAAAAATCAAAATTAAAAACAATTTTTATTTATAAAAGCCAAGGTCTATATAATAGGTCATCCAGTAAAGCCAGCTGACATCTACAATTTAGATTTGACAAATGCATCGATATAATTTTCAATTTGTTTAAAATGATCCTAAAATACACAAATGTGGTGAAAATCAATTACTTGCGCTTTCAAAAATTTATAAATAAATGGAAATTTTTAATTTTTTAAAAATATTTTCACCACAACTACTACTTTTGACAGAAAATATGGTCACAGTTTTATTGGCAAATTTACTTTCCTGTACGAGTCCCAATTTAGATTAGGCGAGTTTACTTGCGGCAAGTCTATGTTTGCAGAAGAGAGGGGCAATAAAAAAAATTGCTCGTACACGCTATTATCTGGCAATTTTTTTGTAGTGTCAGTAATTTAATACCAATCCAGAACATTGTCACAAAATGTAAAAAAAATATATTTTTTGAAACCGAATTGCCTTGTATAGAAACATGAAGCAAGTTCAAAAGAGAACAATAAGAATTTCCGCAAGTAAACTCGCCTAATCTAAATCAGGAACGACTTTTTTCATGTGAATGACTTTTTTGCAACATTTTTTTAATTCCCAGCGGTAACACTGGCTCCCACATAAAGCAAAAGTTATAAAACTCGCACTCGTCACGTACTGCCACTCGCGAGTAAAATCGACAAATCGGAGTTATGATAATTACACATCCGTATGGTTTCCTTCTTCTATAAACGTCTCAATCAGTACTAAGTTTTGTCTTTGAACTTGTCCCAGTTCGCATTTCGAGTCTTCTGATTTGCTCTAAGAGTAGGAATCCAGAAGAAAGTTATGCAATGATACGAAAAGGAGAATTTTTCCGATATTTTTCAGTTTCAAACATCAGACTCGTCCAAGTTTGTGAGGATTCTGTTAATAACTTCACCTCTCTTCACCATTCCGTGGAACAACTCACCCTTCTTCCTTCTGAGGTATTCCTTTCCAGCAGAGTTGGTGGCGAACATAGCTACAATATCTCCATTTCCTCATCTGAAGCACATTTCCTCATCTAAACACAACATGAAATGTGCAATGAAATCGAGGGGATCACAGTTATCGACATTTTCCAAAGTTTACTCATTTACTTAGTTATCGACATTCTCCAAAGTTTACTCATTCTTCAAAAGTTGACACCTCAAAAAATTAAAAAAAAAATTGTAAAATGTACAATTTTATTCCATGTCCATTTTGCTATTATTCCAGTATATTTTGATTTTTTTCTGCATATGATTATAATCATGTATATTATGGTAATTGATGAAGAGGCCCTTTCTTGTTACATTGATAACATGGATTGGTATTCCATATTTATATCTGGTGCAATTAGAACTGAAGACGCTTAACGCAATGGAACAAGTGGTTGTAACTGGTGGAAACATAAGAAAATGCACATTAACCTATTAATAGCCGAATATTTAATACAATCCATATATTAAATTTGATTTAGAATTTTCTGCTACTAGGTTACATCCTCTGAAACATCAAAGTACCTACTATAGCCAAATCGAAATATGGAAATTCACATTTTCTGTAATGAAAAACTTAATCTAACATGACGTGATTCCAACATACGGACCGGCGGTAAGTATTCGAACACTTTAATATTCATTTTTGAAGTGCTTATAAAACAACAAACACACCACTTTGGTTATAAATTTAATCGATTTGTCGGATAGTTTACTTTATTTTCGTTATTTGAATTTTGCCTTTGATCATTCGAAAGTAATTTTAAGTGATTATTTATACTCTTTCGAGTCGAGCTTGATGATCTAAGTTTTGCAAAGAAAAGGAAAGCCAGGAGAAGAATCTACGTACCCACCATTATGCGACGCGTTTCGCCGTTGGTTAAGCGGCTCATCAGGCATATTAGGCTATGTGGCTTTACAAAGGTCGTACGTTGATAACTTGTACTTATTCCGCCCTGATGCGAAACTTGCATATGCGAATTAAATTCAAATTTGTCAAAGTTCGATATTTGTCTTCATTATTTTCGATATGTTTTCCTCGCGCTGTGTTTTCACACATTATTTTCAGCGAAAAATTACACATTCGTATACATTACTTTCGGGTAGAAGCGAACTATTTTTGCTTCTGTAAAAGAAAATCCCAGAATTACGGCATCCAAAATTAGTGAACACATTCATAAAGATACCGTGCTCAAAATATTCAAAACATAAAATATTCGTAGAAAGCCGACCATATCTGGCAACATAAACAATAGCAAGTTTTCAGACGGTAGCAGACGATAGCAAGTTTTGAATACTCCAAAGTACATGGTGTGAAATGTAAAGTTGTGGCTAGTATATAACACTCGCCATCAATTGCATTCTCCCCCAATCACCGAACCTTATAGAACACTTTGTGTGGTTTATTGGAGTGTATGTTTCGCAAACGTGGAAATGCTTAAAATGTTTTATGGAAGAATGGATTAAAATTACCGAAGAAGAAACATCCATATTAGTTCAATCAATGCCAAAACGCTTGCAGAGGTTCTTCAACGCAAAGGGAAATAACTAAAAAACAAAACTATTATAAATGATTATAATTTTTAAAACATTTGTTCGAACACTTAAGAATTGAAATTCAGTATTTTTTTGAGTTTGATTGGAAAATGAGGCATTCTCTTATTGTCGGCTGGGAATATTATGTTTTGATTAAAAACTACAGCGATATAATTTAGATTTGTTTTTAGGATCATATGTATCTTTCTTTTTCGGCTGGGAATATTTAGGGTCCCATATGGGAAACATATTGTAAAGGCTAGAATCTTTATATATTTCCGATGTTATAACGCTTTGAATCAAAGTTCTATGGTGATTTATAAAATTATTTGTACATAATTATTTTTTGTCTTAATAATAACTATGTATGCATATTAGATAAAGCGGACTTCATTGGACTTTACTTTTAGCATTGACTTTCGTTCATATGCACATTAATTAAAAACGTTGAAAAAAGATTTTCATTTTATAATTCGCGGTTGAGATATACATACATATTTTCTGTAGCGTTGGCGGTTTATTTAGGATAAAATTTTTATTTTGTTTTTGCAAAATAGTCAGGCGGAATCCCAGTTGATTGTTTTTATATAAAAAATCCTTAAAATTGATATCTTTAAAGTATCATACATAGTAATCATGCTATGTAATTCTGAAAACAAACGATTAATAGGGCGATAATAGTATCAAAGACTATACAAAGGAAAAAGAAACTAATTTGAAAATTGTATACGGACATTCAAATGTCAATTATTGCGAATATGGTTGGAAAATACGGCTTTAAACCAAGGTCGAAAGTATTAAAAAATTCTTCGAAAGTTTAAGACTATTTCTTAATATTATTTTATTTTATTAAAAAAATAATAAATGATTTTAACTATGTTCGGACGTACTTATTATTTTTTTATTAAAATAATATTAAGAAATTGTCTAAGGCAATACAATGAATGATGTTTTCAGCAAGTGTGATTCCTGAAAACTCGCTGTTTTTTAATCAATATTGCTAGAACCGTGAGTACAGTGTTTTAAGCCAGTAAAAAATAAATGCTTGTTTTCTACTGAGTTACAGTAAATGACTTTGATATCATATATGCAATTGTTTATCTAAATAGTGGGTGTCGTTAATTGTCAAGGTTTGATGAATTTGTTGATGGAGATTAAACCCATCTTCAACTTAAATTGAAGAAATATTCAATCTACTCACATTACGCTGCCGTTTTAAACTTAATCAAACACTCAAACGGGTAATAAGACCACCAAGTTCAATAAAAGAAAACATTTATATGCCACTGTTACGTCATGCTACGCCAATTAATACAATATTCTGAAGGTGTGTTGTTCTGTAGACAAATGCGAAAGTGGGCACATCTTTTATAGAACGAATGATTGCTGACATTCGTATCATATTTCTTCGTATAAAAAGTCGTTTCCGCTTGATGTAGAGCTTAGTTATAGATTGTTCGCGTATTGAAATACACACTAACCACCAATTTTAAAATGTCATACATTGGAAATGTGTCCGATTTGGAATGTGAAAAAAGTGATACCAATCGAAATCGTTCTTCGAATTTGGTAACTAAAGCCCAGGCGAACAAGTTATCCTCTGAACCAAAATGGGCTGCTAAAAGAAGCCCTGACTCCGACTCTGAAATATCAACCTCGGAAAATTTTTTGACCAAAGGTAAAGTGTTGTATCGCGAACGCAAATAAATAGTTATTAATTTGTAAAACGGTTAATTTTCTATAATAATACAACTGTATACTCGTACAAAAATATAATGAAAAAAATATATAAGAATCTATAGTTTTTACATTTAATATTAAATTTGTTAAAAAGTATTTACCAATAATTCTCAACAGGGTCTTTTTCCCCGCTAATTTTTCCAAGCCCGTTTAAAACTATCCCCGTAAGATACCATATACTTACCCCAGGTTTTTTTTCAATTCTTCCGTGCAGTTAAGGCAGTATTTCTTATTCGCCCCCAGAATAAAGTAACCTTCCTTTTAATGTTATTTTTTACACAAAACTTAATCGAGGTTATTTGATCATTGATGTTGAATAATACAAATCGAAGAGCACACGAGAAAACAATAAAAATATTTCTCTGCTGAAACTAAACTTTATCTGTCAAAAAAGCGGATATTACAATCATATTTTATAACAGTCATGTATGCCAACATATCAGAAGAATGCAAAAAGGAACAAACTCAACATAAGAAATTTGAAAATAACGGTTTAATGACTGTAAACAACTGATCGAAGGAAGTTACAAGATTTTAATGTAAAACCTCCGCTTAATTCCTGTCAACGCAAGCCAACATTTAAAATATTTTTACTCCGAGGCGCAACGCACATCATGGTTGTTACATCCTTTATTTATAAGTTTAAAATATTTAGCAATTTTTGCGTACTTTTCGAAGGAAGATATTTTCATTTAAAATTTGAATGACAAGTTGGAAACATATGTCTGCATGAGACAACCTTGTATAATTATGCCATGATTAGAAGAAACCCAATATTTTTTACGCTAACACCGGCAACCTTTACAAAAAAATGTCAGCTATAATGCACGTTGATCAACCGTGCAAAAGAGGAGCAGCAGAAAAAATATATATTCTTATATTTTTTTCTGTTAAGCCTACTAATCCACTATAACCGTACTTTACTGTATATTCATATGTATATTTTGGGAAAAATTATTTTTTTTGTCTTAATAATAACTATGTATGCATATTAGATAAAGCGGACTTCATTGGACTTTACTTTTAGCATTGACTTTCGTTCATATGCACATTAATTAAAAACGTAGGAAAAAGATTTTCATTTTATAATTGTCTAGTAAAGAAAATCTTAAATTAGCACAAAACTTAACTATTCCCACTAAATATTTTAAGGTGCTTTTCTTTTGACACCCTCATATGAACTATCGATGGAACGTGCTGCTCAAATATGCGAGAAGATTACCTTTAAAGGCTGTTTTAGTCTGACAAAAACAGCCAGCGGCATTCTCTTCAAATTCTCTCACCCAGATGATTATCAAGCAGTTTACAAGAAGGGCTTTCACAAAGTCACCGGTGCACGATTTTATCGCAAAGTAAGGCTAAATTAAAAAAAAATCAAGTATATGAATTTTTGGTATTCAAATATTTTAAATCAAAAATAGCTAGTATTTAATAAGCATGAACAAATATATTATTGTTTTTGGTGTATCTTTAAATAATTTTTTGTTGTAATTTTCGTCAGATAGCTATACCATGTCGTCCTCGAAAGACCTTCACCCTGTACGTTCTGGATGTTCCCGAGGATTTGCCAGTGGAAGATATAAGACATTCGTTGTACAAATTCGATTCTGTCGTTGAGGTTGTTCGCTTGCATTTGTATCACCAATCAAGTTCTTCATTAGCATCTGAAAAAAATACCGAAGGTTACAACAAATAACCATTTTTTAAATGCATCAATTATTTAGAACAAGTTTCTTTATTCATGTCATTCATCAGGTGGGTCATCCACATCTAAGGGAGATACGTCTGAGAAAACTGAACGTCCAGAACGGAAAGAATTCCCTCCAGCTGTTATACGCATTACACTAGCATCTATGGATGAGTACAATATTCTTGTGCAAAACGGTCTCAACTTCTATGATGCCACGTTCTTCCCGACTGAGACTAATATCTCATTAAAGGGCGCCAAAATAGAAAACCGTAGAAGGTATGTATTAATGCGAATGATGTCACTATACGTATATAATTCATATATTTCCATTCACAATGATTTGATTTTTTATTCACAAATAATATAGAATGATGGATGGTAGTGTTCCCGGACGTGTTCGTGAGCTTCTCCCAGTTTTCGATGCGGCTGGTTTTTGTAAATTACCTCCACCGACGCGAAAAGTAATTAAGCCCCCAAGGTCGTAAGCCACAACCGTAACATTAACAGTTTTACTGTGCCAAGTCTAACTGGCACTAACCAACCATATATGGATTCCGTATCCGTTTAATGTCGATTGCTTTCTACGTATAACACATATAACATTGTTATAGCCAACGGAAGCAAATTAATTGAATTTTTGATATTTCTTTATTTTATTGCTTTTAAATTGAAACGTTTGCTATTAATCAATTAACAAAATGAAAAATAAACCGACAATAAAACAAAAATACTAATATATAAAAGTCTGAATATGTTTTCTTCGATATGGCAAAGTCAGTACGCTGAAAATGGGAATAAAATGAAAAGAGTATAATATTATGTATTTTTATTAATGATGGCCTTGATTAAGATGCTTACACTCTAGTGTTCAATGGTAGTGAATAGGTTAATCCTCCTGGAAAGGGAGTAGTGTTAGCTGCTGTTTATTATTGGCGAATCACATGTAGAGAACAGGTGGAAATTACATTTTTAGGTGGTGCCTAGGCTCGAATTCCAGTCTGCTGTTTTGGGAGTGCGGTTGAAGGAAGCCATAGCAGCCAGCCACGACATAAATCCCAATAAAATAACATCTTAATTCTTATTAATTAATAATTTTAAAATCAGTATTTTTCTGAAGGCAAAACTTCGATAAACTTAACCTCGTTGTTAATACCCGAGGATATTAAGAAGTCCGAAATATATTGGTGAAAACGGGCACAAGAATAAGATTTTCGATAAACTTAACCTCGTTGTTAATACCCGAGGATATTAAGAAGTCCGAAATATATTGGTGAAAACGGGCACAAGAATAAGATTTTCCTGAAGGAATACGAACCTTAAAATTTTGTCGTTTTATTTCAAAAAGAGTACAATATATAAATCATGGCATAACTATGCAAGGTAATCTCATTTGAAAAATTAATAATGGCAACCCTTCTTAATATGGAATTCATATATCAATTTCAAATAAAATGAAAAAATAAATTCAAAAAAATTTTACGATTGGCAATTGGCAAATTTTCAACAAATTAAAAAAAAATATATATATTTTTCTAAAGCTCCACATTCTTCTAAAAATTTAACTAAGATTGTTGGAATTTATATTTATAGGCAGGGACTTAAAAATATTAATAAATATAAAAGATTCAAAAAATGTTTGCCACTTTACACAAGATTTGCGTACATTTCGAAGGAAGATATTTTCGTTAAAATTGTGAAAGCTGAATGTTGTCAAAAACAAATTTATGAAAAAATTGGAAACATATGCCTGCATGACACTACCTTGTATAGTTATTCCATGTATATAAATTATTTCCATGTTTCGGCATAATAATAATGTAACCTACATTGGGTCTTCTACTAGAAAGTAAATAATAATGCCAAAAAAACTTGATTACAAAATTGATTGTCAAACAGTATAAGGAATATTTTATTCACCAAGATCAAGAATCGATCTCCGCAGCTATTTGATCCAAGTTTTGGATGCCTTGTTTAAGACAACTGGGAAGAAGTGAAAAATTTTCAGGTTTATAAAAACCCCAGCACCGCTCCCAGGTCTCCTCAACAGAATGAGTCAACATTCCGAAGAACGTGTCATGCAATTTGTCGGAGGATTCATGCATACAGGCCCATATACAGTTTCATTGTGTAGACGTAGTGGAAAGACCTAATATAATCCACTGGATTTGTGAACATGGTTAAAGTGACGTAAACGCTATGGAATTAACATTAGAGATTGTGTGGATTCAGTAGTCCAAACGTGCTCTTGAATAGTATTCTCATCGAAGCAGAAAATGCTCCCAAGTTTGTTCGGCGGTAGTGTAGACATCGGTAGGAAAGATACGTCGCCCGGCATAAAATTTAGCAATCCTAGAAGTTGCTGGTGAATCTCCCGATCGATTCACGGGCGGCGGGCTATTGTAAACTTACAGCACATATTCGTTAATTTTGAGCTTTAAATTTATTAACGTTCGTTATTTGGATTTGTATTATTTTGTAACGGACAATTTCTATTTTATGATTTTTATTAACATCAATTTTTATTGACATCATATTATTTTAAGAGTGAAAACGTTCTATTTTGTTATCGTTTTTAGATGTGTTCATAGGTAATGGATAAGTTATCGTTTGGTTCTTGATGTAATAATAACGTGATGTATCAAAACAACAACTTTTGTTTTTGTCAATTTTTTCCATATAATATTTCACATGGTTGTCAACATTGCACATCGAATTCAAGTAGAAATAACGCACTTTGACAGATAATCGAGACGTCAGCTACTCTATATGGACTACATATTTATTGCGCCATGGTTTGGTGATTCTCATAATGACTTTGCAAGTCATTCCTGGACAAACCGCCAAAAGAGAAAGAATTAGTTAAGAACAATCTTTGTACCCTTTTGATTGTGTAATCATATCAATTTATTATGCAATTTAAATTTTGTTCAATACATAATAAAATAATTTTAAATAATATTTATAAATAATTTTATCATAATTACATCCTACACAACTATGTCGCTATAACTTTGTGTGGCCCAAGAGTTTGTAACGCCTCGAAATATTGGTCCTAGACCAGCCTTTTAGCATACCGATCATATCTCGACTAACTGAGTCGATCTAGACATGTGTGTCCGTCTGGCAAAATAAGACCCCTATTTTTGGTAATGATCGGTTAATATTTAGGGAATGAAATGGACAAAAAACGTTATTTTTGTTTGTTTTTCTGGCCACTTATAGGCTACAATTACGACGTGAAATATACTATTAACTATAATTAAAATTATTTTTTCTTTATAAAATACTAAAACTAATTTTATAATTATTTTTAATAAAATAGATAAAAAACAAATAAAATCAATAATTAAAATCTAATCAATTTATATTGATTTGCACAGAAATCTTTTCAATGTAAATGAAAACCATGACAGATTATATTGTTGTATGTACTTAGATGTGGGAGTTATACGTAAATATCACTGTGATTCAAAACAAAACAAACAATTTTTTCAGGGGTTCTAATGTACCAATTCCGTTTAGTTGGAGTCCCTGGACCACGAATATACCTTTGGTTTTTCTGGGTCACTTCGAAAATTAGTTTTATAACGGTAAATGTAGAGAAAAACGTGGTTTCATAGATTTTCACTTTGAAACGCGTATAACTTCTTTTCTTTATAACGGATTTATATTATTCTTTTTTTCGTTTTCTTTCAAACAAGATATATATTTGGTAAATAGGTTGAGGATTGGCTGAGTTACAGTGGTTGAAATGTGGAAAATACGCATAAAATTACAAAATTTATTTTTCTTTGGACTGTACGAAGAAATTATGATATCAAGCCGTATAAGTTTTATTATATTACGGGGAAGACAATTAAATAAGCTTTCGAAAATGAGAAAAATTGTTTCTTTAGAGAATATGCATAAAATCAATACAAAAATGTGTATAAGTCCTCCATTTTTTAACCAATTTTCTTTTTTTTTTTTTTGATTTTTCTAATCTTTGAAAGCTTATTTAATTGTCTTCCCCGTAATATAATAAAACTTATACGGATTGATATCATAATTTCTTCGTACAGTCCGAAGAAAAATAAATTTTGTCATTTTATGCGTATTTTTTCACATTTCAACCACTGTAACTCAGCCAATTCTCAACCGATTTACAAAATGAATATCTTGTTTGAAAGAAAAAAATTCTACTCTTCGAAAGAAAAAAAAAATTCGTTAGAAAGTAAATAACTTATTCCCGTTTCAAATGAAAAATATGAGACCACGTTTTTTCTACATTTACCGTTATAAAACTAATTTTCGAAGTGACCCAGAAAAACCAAAGGTATATTCGTGGTCCAGGGACTCCAACTAAACGGAATTGGTACATTAGAACCCCTGAAAATTTTTCGTGTAGCACAGTGTATTTAAAGGTGTCTATGTGTTATTATATAGTTTAGTATTACTATTATCACACTAGAGGGCGGAAATATCGCGTTGATCGCTCTTATAATATACATGAGTTTCTTGGTGGGCTTACCATAAAAAGTAGGAATTTGTGATACCCCTAAGTACCGCCAAAATAAAAAGTGGACTTAGATCTTTTATATTATGTTAAGCCAGCGACAAGTGATGAATTGGATTTGGCGCCTTTACGCATCATTACAAAACAAAAGTAAGATAACTGTACTTTTATTTTAATTGAAAAATCAAAATATTTTTGATATATTTTTGCAAAATATGAGGAAATATTTTGCAAAAAGTATACTGGTTCCTTGAAGCCTTTCAAAGCTAAAGATGTCCTTTAAATGAATCCACTTTGGAGTTTTTAATTCGATTTTTTGTTTATTTTTATAAATATTTGTTGATCTCTATTTATTATCATGCTACAATTATTTAATGTACGCCATAAATTATAAATTAATTTTATAAGTTGCCCTTTTTTAAGGGTACCTCCAAATTTTCTATTTTTTGGGGTTCTTGAGCGCGCTTTTCAAACGAATTTGCTGAAATTTGATACATTGAGTTCTCTTTGGGTACCAAATGTCTCCACTAAAAATTATAGATATAGGTCCATTTTTTCGGTTAGCTGCCATTTTTTTGGGGGGGTTTAAGCGCGTTTTAAACCGAATTTGCTGTTACAATGAGTTCTTATTGGGTACCAAATTTCTCCACTAAAAATTATAAATAACGGTCCACTTTATCTGGTAGCCCCCATATAAGGGTACCGCCAAATTTTCGATATTTTGGGTTCTTGAGCGCGCTTTTCAAACGAATTTGCTGAAATTTGATTCATTGGGTTCATTTGGGTACCAAATGTCTCAACTACAAATTATTAATAACGGTCCACTTTTTCTGTTAGCCTCATATAACGATACTCCCTAATTTACGGTATTTTGGGGGTGTTTATACCCTACATTGGTCCTAGACCCACCTTTAAGTATACCGATCGTCATATCTCGACTGGCTGAGTCGATCTAGACATGTGTGTCCGTCCGTCCGTCAGTCCATTATAATTTGTAAACACGATACAGGCC